TTTTCCCATTTTATTGAAGTCTGCATGTAGTCATTGTTAGTACTTTTCTGGAAGGCATACAGCTCTTGCTTTGATAACCTGTGAGATGAAACCAAGGCACTGTTTGCCTGGTTCTTTTTTCTCCTGCCTCTCTAGCTGAAATAGCCAAAAGTAGATTCTGAATTTGCTTTACTATGGAGCAGCTCTCTGTCTCTTTCCCCCTGCCCCAAAAGTTTAGGTGGGTTGTTGCTGTGAACAAGATGCCAGACTTTTGCTACTGCTTTTGTACTTGATGTACCTGCAAGAGCTGATAATAGCTCTGAAAACCCTTTCTGATAAATGAAAGCACTTAAAAGAACTCGTGTCAAGGGTTTTTTGAAGATGTGATGCATCTCATCTGTGGAAATTGGGGTGCATGGAAATAAATTAATAAAGTAAGTGTCTTTTTGCTTAATGGAAAGACAAGAATCATAACTTCTTGGTGGAAGGAGTGACAGAACATTTTAAAGCTGTCAAGGGCTGCTGATACTCAAGTTGTAATCTTAAATAAATACAACAATCTGGATTCCTATTCTTACCATTAGATGTAATCAATAGCAGTTTCAGTAAATATGATCCTTTGCTGCAAATCTAACTCTTCCTTTATTGAGAAATCCTTGAGTTTGTCGTCTGAGTATCTTCTCACTCCTACTGCAGGATTGCTGGCCTGAAAGAGAGGGAAAAACTATGTTCTGTAAATGTCTTGTATAGTTGTTTTTGTGTAGGGTGGCTGTGCTGGTTCACAAAAAAAAAAAAAAAAAATTCCACCCAAGGTTTTAGTTCTTCTTGCAAAGCTGCATTTTGGTGAACATTGCCTGTTTTTTCCTGGTCTCATGGGCTGACCTTGGCCAGCTGCTCTTTATCTCTTCCTCCTCAACATGATGGGGAGGGAAATCATATGAAAAAGCTCATGGATTGAGACAAAAACAAGGAAATCACTCACTAGTTACTTTCACGAGCAAACCAGACTCAACTGGGAAAGATTAAATTTATTGCCAATTCAAATAGATTTCAGTGGTGAGGAAGACTGTCAAAAATTAACAATCTGCCCATGTTCATGGGTCTGGATGGGATTTCAGTGGATGGTGATGGTCCTCCCCCTTCCCCTGTGGCAGTCCAGGAGCTGTGGGTTTGGAGGACGCCGTCAGGCTGAGTGCTGTCGGGTCTGGGTGTTGGTGTCTGGCACCTGTGGGTGATTTGCCAGCTCAGCCTGGTGCCTTTCAGACACTTGCTGTCCCTGAGGGGAAGTTGTTTCATGTCCCTAATTGCGGACTGGCTACCTGAGTGACAGGCACGAGGCACCAGTTTGTTTCTCAGCCCTGAGGCGGAAAGGTGTTCCCTGCCTGTGTTCAGCTGAGATTAGCTGGAGGTGGGCCCTGGGATCAGGTGACTAATCACCTATAAACCTACTAATTGAGTAATGGTGTAGGATAATGGCATGTTAGGGCTTACTGGTGACATGCCTCGCTGGGCGGGCTGGTGGGCTGCTGAGCCCCACTGAGCAGCTCCAGGTGCCCTGACACCGTGGAGTGCCATACATCCACCAATGGGATACACCCATTCCGTGAAGGATACATCAACTTTCTTCATTCAGTGGTGAAGAAATAATCAGACACAGTTATTTTGGGGGAAATAGTCCTCTGATTAATCCATCAACAATTTTCAAGATTATTGAAACAAACCTTCACTGTAATCCATCTCGTGTTTAACCCACGAGAAGCTAAACGGGGATTTGTGACCCAAAATCCTGCTGCAGCTCTTCTCCAAGAGGGGCTGGAGCTGGGGGAGGCCTCCTTCTTTCAAAGGTAATGCCAGGCCTTAGTAAACCTGACATTTAAAGGGGGCAAAATTGATTTCTTTTATCAGCTGGCTGAAATCAGAAATTGTAGAGGAAGCAGAGAGAACTCCAGGAAAGGCAGCATTTAAAAAGACTGTGGTGTTATTCTTCAAAAGTGGCTTTATGTTGCAAAAGGATTTATTGTATGAAGATGTTGAATTCCATTTGCTATTTCTTTGTGTTTAAATTGAGAAAGTAACACACATTAAATGAAGGATGAAGTTTTACGGCTCTTTTAGTGTGTGTTTTCCACCACTGTTAACATTTCTCTTGATGCCTCTTTGACAAAAGCAAGAACTAATTGCTGCAAATGCAGAAGTGAGACATGGAATGACAACTGGGTTGCTGTGTTCCAAGGTGGCACGTGAAGTGGTCTTGGAGAAGGAGTTGCTGCCCAGGGCACTGAAGCTGTGCAGATTTACAGCACTAGTTTGATTCCTGTCATCTCTTTTGTTTGTCCCCACAAGCATCACTAAATGGCTTCTTCTTTCCTAGGTGCTGGAGGTGCGATAAACCTTCAGTTATTTGGTCTTATGAAGTGGTACGTGGCGTGCATTTCTGCTGTAGGTAGGAGTAAAGGGGCTTTTGGTTTCAGCAGGGATGATGTGATGGTGGAAGTGTTCTTTGGAAAAGCTCAAAGGGATGACAGTTTATGTGCGTGACTTCAGTTGTGTGTTCCTGAGGGAGAGATGAGCTTGTGGATGTGGATCCAGCATGGAAAAGTAAAAGGAAGATCTTCTGGAACCCCCATAAAATAAATGCCTCTTAATTTTCAGCTGAGCTCAATAGAGAGAATTTGGAATTGCAAACAGACCAAGATATGGCAAGCGTAGCAGATAATGCAGAAATTCATCACTGGTGTAAGACTGCTGAAAGGTTTTCTTTAAAAATTGAAAAACAAAAAAAGAACCCCAGGAAAATCCACCGCCCCAAGTATTAATTCACTGACATTAAAAAATGCAAAAAGCTCCATTTTTCTACTGTTCAAAATGAGATCAGGTGCCCTTGGCCAGTATAGGAGAGCCGAGGTTAAGGCACTGCATTGATTTCAACCAAACAAATACAGCGAACTATTTGATCAAGTGAGCTATTATAGTTTATTTGAGCAGGCTTAGCTTTAAGAGAACAGCATTTTTAAAGGCAAGGACTAAATAGTGGAAATGCTTGGTGACTTCTCCAATTTTGCTTGCTTTGTGGCCAGGCTGAGCACACAAAAAAAAAAAGGATTTTTTATTGCTGAGCTGTGTTTTGATAGGAGTGTGTCTTCAGCTTCCCAGGGAAGCAGCTGGAGGCCGGGGTGGTGTCAATCTCCTGCATGCCATCAGGAGTGTTTAACTGGATAATACAGAGACGGGACAGAAACATAATCAGGCTGCTTTGGTATCCTCTGCTTGCCGGCTTGCGTTTTGCTGGAGAATCCAGTAAAGCCTCGGGCCCTGCTGTTATTTGTCAGGGCTCTCAGGGCTCCTGGCATACACATGCATAATGCATACATGGATTGCAGGTGACATTGAGAGGCTGGGTTCAGAGCAGGGGATTGCAGTAAGACTAATAGGTTTAAGGAAATAGTGGTTTTTTACCTCTTTCAAATAATTGGTGGGTTTATTTAATTTTCAAAATGTCTGATAGTTTTTGCTTATCAAGGCACTTTATATTCTAGGTTTTGCCACCCAGATAACTGCTGTTTTCCCTTTCCCCATCTGCATCTCCCACTGGCTCCCTCTTTTAGCAAAAAATGCATAAACCTTGCTGAAAAATAAGAGTGCCAGTAGGCCTCCCAGCAAGTGTCTGGGAGCTGCCTTTCTGGGGTGTACCGAGGAGCTGGAATCTCCCAGCTTTTGGAGAAGGGTCTGTCTTTGCCCTACACAAAAAAATGGCCTCTTGTGGCAGTGTGGGCAATGGATTTTTGTTTACTTATGAAAAACAGACCAGTTTATGGGGGTGGATTAAGTTTGTTGCAAGCAAGTGCACTTGCTTGCAACCTCTTCCAGTCGGAGCTGGGGTAAAGTTAGCCTTGAGGACCTGCCTTATCTGGGTTTTGTTGTGTTGTTGCTCTGGTAACAGCAAGTCTTACACCTTTATTAAAGGATGAAGGGATATTTTGTTTTACTCTCTAGACTCCAATCAAAGGGAAATTTTGAGGTTTCTTTTTACCACAGTTTCTGCTGTTAGTAGAAAACTTGTACTTGCTCTGCATGTTAACCCAAGTTAACCATTTTCTGGTCTAAAAAAAAATTATTTTTTTTTAACCTGGAAAAATAAAGATCAGAACATGCAAGAACATGTGGTGTCCGTATTCTAAAAAAAAAACCAACTCTGACCTTTTAACACAGTTTTAAAAAATGGGGAAAGTTTTACAGGAAACTTGAGGTCAGAAAAAATTAAACCTTCTTAAACACTTTGCATACACTCAATGCCACTCTGCTTTACCAGCTTCAGTTCAGAAATTGTCTCCAAGGTCATTCAGGACTGTTTTGGAATCAGGTCTTGCAGTGACAAGGCAGCTGTTGGGAAAGTTTGTTGTCTTGTGCTGTCATGTGCCTATTCTGTGTCTGATTGCTGAGTTACTTTGGGGCAGTGTTCGAGGTCGTTTCTTGGTCAAGCCAAACTTTTATTGTATAGGCTTTGAAAAATTATTTTTTAAAAAGAGGATGGGAACCTGGTAAAAACACAGATAATCAGTTGGTAGAGAAGAACAACTGTGATCCTGCCATTGATTTTGGGAGCTTCTGTGTACATGTTGTTGCAATATCCTAGAACCCCCTCCTAATGGATTTGGTTTTGCTGTATCCATCCAAAGTAAAGCATTTCTTTTTGCTACTTCTTTTTGCCCAGTGTTTCTATTTGGAAACTCTCTAAAGCCTCGTCAGAGGACCTGCAGTTTCATCTGATTCAGAACCAGTTGACATCTCATCTGCTTGGAACTGGTGTCTAAGGATGTGAGAGAGAACTTTCTGGGAAAACTTATTTTGGTGTTAATGGATAAGGATTTAGCACAGTCTTAATTATTGCTTTCCTTAATCTTCGTTCACGAATCCTAGCCATGATGAGTTATTGCTTTACATCTAGTTTCATTTGATCTGTAGTATCCAAACCAGAATGCTCAAATTAGGTATTCATTGTTGTGTTTTGTTTTTTTTTGCAGGGAAGTTACCCAGTGTGGGAAGATTTTATAAATAAAGCTGGGAAACTGCAGTCTCAGCTTCGGTAAGTTTTGTGTTACAGAGTCAAGATCCCCTACAGTTCCTTGGATGTGCAAACGTTAAGATTAAATGCAGCTTTTGCCAGGATAATTAGCTAGTAAAATTGTGCATATTTCATAGTCAACACCCATGCATGTAATTTTTCATACATTACTACTGGTGTTTTAATGTATTTATGAAAATTCATAATCTACCAACAGCTGTACATAATAAACACAAAATGAGCTAAATTTCATGGATTTTGATGGAAAATTGGAAAGATAGTTTATTGTTGTTTAGTGAGCACACGTTTGGAGTTAACCCTATGTTGCTCTTATTATTAGTGTAGAATACAGAGGGGTTATATTAGAAGAGGGTTTAAAATACTAAAAAATCTTTGGCAGTCTGAACAGCACTTTCTTCTGCCTTAAAAATGAAGGGAATTCCTTTGGTGCATCATGTATTGGTGATGATTAAAACTTCGATTATTGGGGTATACTTTGAAAACAGCATTCTGGATTACTTAGTAAGTGCCATTAGTATCACACTCAGAACAATTCTGCTATCTCTAGAATTCACTCACTTGTAAAGTTGGTTTTTGCTAATCTGAATACAAGTTCCAATTCTTCACAACTCTCCCCAAACCACAATATTCACTGTGCTCCCGACAACTTCAGTGTTTTTTTCCCAGCAGCAAGAACAGGTTATTGGCAGTCTGGTTTGTGGTTCTGTGTTGTGTTATGAACTGCTCCTGAAGAAGCTAGAGTTTAGCCTCATTTGCCCTAAACAGCGGAGTATGCTGTTCTGCCACACTGTGCCTAAAGTGCCACACTTGCACGTGGTTTATCCTTTTCCAGCAATTAGGTCACATTGAGGATGGAAGATGCAGAGGAAGGAGAGAAAGAAGAGAAATGGAGAACTTTCCTAGCCTTTTGTACTCTTTAGAAACAGGCCTTCTAGGGTGGCATGAGGGATAGTTTTGTGTATTTCCCAGTCCTGTGCTGTTGCATTCAATCAATGCAGTGCTACAGGAACATGCAGATAGGCAGCTTGAAAGCCTGTGTTCGAGGATTTGCTGTTTGTTTCTAGCAAATGTGAGCCTTTTGCCTCTGTTTCATTTCTGTGTGCTTTGATAAAGGACAGCAGATGTCATCTGAGCTGGAGCCAGGTCTTCCTGGATCTTGTTACTGGAGAAATGGAACTTTGTTATTAGCAATATAATTAATAATTAACAACATGGTACATGAATAACAGCGTGACCCACAAGTTTGGAAGATGAAGAACTCAAACACTGCTAAAGAAAATCTCAGAAAAGGTTATCTGGTTTCAGGGCTCAATATAGCTAGCTAGCTGTCAGGGGTTTTCTTGCCCTCCCTTTAATCTCCTGGGCATGTGGAGAGTCCTTATGCATTTGGTTGGTCCTTTCATGCCTGGGGTGTTTTTTTCTGTGTGTGTGTTCAAATCTTTTGTGCTGTCAGTTGGCCATTTACTACGCTGCCAGTTATGTCCTCTGTATCTTGAGCATATTTGGAGTGAGACTCGCATAAAATCTGACCTAATTAAGCAGTCCTGTGGTCTTTCTGGCCAAGGATCAGCTTCCCTGCAGGTCTGCCAGGTTTTTTCAGGCTAGGAAGGAGTTCTTGAAACAAAATGAAGTTGGTAGTCCCCATTCTGAATTTTGCTTGGAAAGGCTGGGTGATGCCATCAGGAGAGAAAATCAGAGTTACTGTTAGAAAAGATGTGCGGAAACAGAACCACGAGGTAACTGTGGAGAGGGCACAGTTGTGCTTTACCTGTAGAGCCCTGGCCTACTTCCACTTTAAATGGGTTGAGCAGACTATAAACCTTCAGAAATCTGGACTGACCTGAGATGTTCAGGGCTCTGGGGCCTGCTTATCTAGAACAATTGTGTTTGGAAAACTGTAACTCACGTTTGCTGTCCACTTGAACATATGCATGGTCTGTGTGCGCTTTCCAGATGTGGAGGGAGATTGGGCTCGTGGGGTTGACACTGGATTGTGAAGTCTCTGGGATTGCAGGTGTACCTCTCAGGAGCAGTCCTGTTTAGAGGAGCAGTGGAACAGAAAGAGGTTTTGTTTGTTTATTTAGGGGGATTGGTGTTTTTGTGGTTGTTTTGGGTTTTTTTTCCCTTGAAGTGGAGATTCTTTTCCCACTTTTCCATTTGCCCAAGAACTCCAGACTAGTCTGATTTCCAAGAAGTCACTGTTTTTTTTCAAGGGATGCTCATGCTCCCTAGATGAAAAACTCAGGAAATTGTTTGGCCAGGGTCCTAGATAAAAGGAAGTTCCTGCATGTTTATTCTTAAAATATACATGTTCCCTTGAAATAGCAGTGGCTGTAATTTGTACACTAATGGGTGCAGTATAATGTGTGTTAGATTTGTTTTTCATGTTTGACTGCTTAATATTAGTTCATCAGAGGAAATCAGCTAGAAGAAGGATGGCTGTGCTCTTTTGAAACAGCACCTGTCCTGTGCAATTCTCAGCATGGAATTAGCGTGACTGCCTCCAAGTCCATAGTGCTAACACAAAGCGAGGAAGGGATTAAGAAATGAAGGAGGGAAAAGGCTAAATTCAGATATAAAAGAGGATACTTTTTGTGGCCTCTGCAAGTTCACAGTGTTATTCTTTATAAGCCTAAATGTTTTTGGCAGTAATTAAATAGGCATCAATGAGACACTGCTAATGTTTTGTTATCTGTATGCATTTCAGGACTACAGTAGTAGCAGCTGCTGCCTTTTTGGATGCCTTTCAGAAAGTGGCTGACATGGCTACTAATACACGTGGTAAGCAGATGTGTCAATATTGAGTTTAACAGAACGCTGTGTGGTTTATACCATTTGTCGTAATAAAAAAAAAGTCTTAACTTGTTACATTGACAAGCAGATCTGTGAGACATCTGTTAGATGGACTTGCACTTTGCTAAATGGCACGTGAAAAAGGAAGTTGTCTTTTCTTTAGAGAAAAAAAAATTGCTGGAAACCTGTAATTTAAATGTGTCATCAATCATGTGAACACTTCTTAATTACCATTTGAATTATACGTTGATGAATAATATTTTAGAAAGCAAGATTTACTGAAATCTGTATTCACTGATGCTTCTGTACCTTGTGTAAATGTAAAAAGCTTGATACTCAGCTGGTATAAATAAGTGTAGGGTTGCTGGAGACAGAGCAGAGGAGATACCAGCTGATCCTATGGCCTTTGGGGTCTGCCAGTAATGATGACAGTGGCCTGTACTTATGTCTTTGAGGAAAATCTTGGCTTGTCCTTCTCCTTTAGGTCTGACATTACAAGTCAAAATTAATTTTCCTGGGCTGTGGACTTCTCTGGGTAGCAATCTAAGCTCGTTAGTGAGTATGGAGAGCCAAAGTAGTGCAGCTGGCTTTCTTTCCAGACTGGTGAGTTGGAAGGAGACAAAAGGCCGGCTCTCTCTGATGTTGGATGCCCAGTGACCAAGGCATTGCATGCAGATGTCCCCACAGCAGTAGGGCATTGCCCATGGTCACTGGGTCCCTGAACTATTGCTGAAGAGTGAATCCAAAGTGCATAGAGCACTGCTGAGTGAGCGGCTTTTGGTCACCTCTAACCATAGAAGTTTTGTAACATTTTTTTTAAAGTCCCAGTGTGCCCTTGGACATTCGATTTGGAGAGGGAGAAGGTAATGTTGCTGATGTGAAGAGTGTGCATTTGCATTAGCAGAGTTCAAGCTCAGCCAGACTTGTGTTTCCCTTCACTTCTGGCTAACAGGAGTGGTAGCAGCTGCTGGAGCCAGTATCAAGCCATAGAATGACAAGAGGGAAGAATATTTTTTTCCTGTCTAAAGCTAATATTTACATTCTGATAAGAAGTTCCTCATTATATGCGTACCTTCTGTAAATTATGGGTAATCTACTCATGTAAAATAATAAACATGACAGAAAGTGGAATAAACTCAGGATGAGACCCAAGGCAGAATTCACTTTGATTTCTAACGTGTCTTTCCTTCAAGCATGTTCTCTTCTGTTTCTTCTCTCTTCCTCTGGAGGAAACAAAGTAAACTACCAAAAATCCTTGGGACTTGTCTTCTAGCTGTGCTGGCAGGCTTATAGAACTTTCATTGAGATACCAGAATGACTGAAACTTTCCCATTCTCAAACAGAAATGACTTGTGCGGGTTTTTGAAGGGTATTTTACACTTTCTGCTGTGTTATTTGGACCCTGTCCAACAAGTGTCGTGTCTTATCTCTTATCTCTTTGAACACATCCTTTACAAAAGGAGCTCTGTGAATCCAGGCATGCCAAATTTGTATAGCTCCTCTGTTCTGTCTTCTGCCTTCTCTGACTGAAAGGATAGAAGGAAATTTTGTTTTTATTTTTAGAAAGTGATGTTCTGGGCAATGAATCAAAACTCCAAGTTAGCTGGTGGTTCTGATCTGCCTCCCAACCCAACTTCCATTTGTGCCCATTCAAGTATATCTCTGAGGTTGCACATTGGTTCTTTAAGAAATACAGCCCCTTCTACCTTGCTGTGGACAGAGATGAACGCCTGACCTTGTTAAAGGTGGTGGCAAAGCTCTCTATGACTTACTAGGACACAATTCCATAAAAAATGTATTTTGCTGTAAGTATAAAGATTTACATTCCAAACCCAAAATACAACACACTTGGTTGTTTTTTTTCCTCTGATGTGGGGATTTTAATGGGTTCTCAGGTTTCCCTTTTAGGAGTTACCTACTTTGAACAATTCTTCATTAAATTTTGCCTGTTACTTATCCAGTTTATAAAACCATGTATTTGATTGTCTAATCAAACACCTGACTATGCTTCACACTGTTTAGAGGGTTAACAGATAAACCAAAGTTTACAGTTAACAGATTAACCAAAGTCAGCAAAGTTCATGTTCAGTTTTTGGGGATATATGAGACTTGTGTAGCACTTCCCGTGACAAAGGAAGGGAGGTTGGTGTATTTTAAATCTAAGGCTGGTTTATCATTGCATGAGCCAAATGCTTCTTCTGGGAACTAACTGTATATGAAAATGCTGGAGCAGGCACCTGTTTCAGAGGGACAGTGTTAGTTTGTGTAGGATGAAATGGAACTTTGTAGGATGACTGAAGTGTCATGAAACTGGGTGCTGCCTTTAATTTATAATTGCTGATAGCTTTACAGAAAATGGCCTGTTATTTTAAGACCCACTCATCTAGCTGATGAAAGCATTTTATCAGTCAGCAGAAGCACTCTCTGGCTACTCTTTAATCTGTTTGCATCAGCATTAGCTTTGAAAGAAGAAAAAGTATTTACGTGGATGTACGTGTCCACACACATACAAGGGGAGACAATTTCCTTTGCAGTCACTGAGTGTTCAAGAATGAGAACTTATTTCCATCAATGCCATTCCTTGTTCCAGCTGATCTCTTTACCTTGTGTGCCATTATTGTTGTTCGCAGGCATTGTCTTTTCCCTTTTTGTGCATCGTTCTTTCCATGTCATTTACTTCCTTCTAATTCTGCAATGGTAACGAAGTTAATCTTAACATTCCCTTTTGAAGCTCAAATAGAAGGCATAATTGGAGCTCTGTCTATGGTAAAGCCATGGTTGGATGAGTTGGATAACCTGTATTTTGCCGTATTATCTTCACATTGTAGCTTCTGAAGTAGGAGAAGCCCTGAATGTGAAGTACCTGGTGTTTTGTGGTGACTCAGTACACGAATTAATTTCCCAAGCAGCTCATTTCAGCTTTTGCTTCCTTCTTCACTACCACGATATTTAAATGTGTGTCAACCCAAAGTTTAGTCTCCCTTTTTTCCTCAGTCAGTTCCCTCAGTTCAATGCTTTTTGATTTTTGCCTGACCAGGAAAAACGGTGGAAAAGTAGTTATGATGTGTGGATCACCAAAATGTTGTATTTCTGCGGGTCTGGTCATCTGAAAAATATCATTTGAATGGAGGAGGTTGTCAAGTTATGTTGCTAATTCTGTAATAATGCTGTATAGCAGTGTGTGCTGGTTTTTTGCTGGTACTAGAGATTTTTGAAAGCAGAATTCCTTTCGATGTTTTGACTTTTGAACTCTGACAAGGTAGACACATCTATGTAGCAGTTTGTGTTATTCAAGGTACAACTGTTTGGCATACAACCTGGCAGAACTCTAATCTGCAGTGGAATCTGTATTATTTCTCACTGTGATTATTAAAGAGAATAGTCATAAAATATTAAATGAAGTAGGTACTTCAGGATACCTTTAAATCCTTAGTATACCTTAAATAATCTAATAATAACCCTTAAATACCTTAAAAGTGAAGTTTCATTTTGGTGAAATGTGAACTCATGACTTTTAGTTCAGGCTTTTCTTATATGGCTTATGTCTTTCAGTATTTGAAATTTTGAATGCTTTTATCTGCATCAATTCTAACTGAAGCATGGAAGAGGTTTAAGTCTAAATTAATTTAATAGCTGTTTACCTGATATTTTGTGCGTTAAAAATTTATTCTCTTATGAAAGCAAGAACTGTGCATTCCAAATATAAACATATATCACATATAAACATACTGTAAGTTGGGTTTGAACAGATGTAAAAGGACGTATGTAAACTGCTTTGCTTTTTGAATGCTTCTTCTACCTCTACTGCATTTGAATGTCCTTTGTAGATAAGTGCTAGAATTCAGGAACTTGAAAAAGTAGGTGTGAAAATTAATTCTCCTCCTTGTGTTATGAGGGAGATTAATCTGAAGACATGGACACGTCTTCTGTATCCCCTTAATACACCATCAGCAGCTGCCGTGGTAAAAAACCTGCCCCAGTCTTGCCTACCTACATCTGCACAGGTGTAAATTAAAATTTATGGAAAGATGATCTAAAAGCTTTGATTTACCCAAGCTTAAAATTGATCTTCAAAGTGATATTGTTAATGAGGCAGCTGATACCCAGTCCTGTGGTTTTTTGTTTTTCCTTCATATTGAAGGATTTTGCATATACATAGGTGTGTTTGATATTAGGAGATTAGTTAAATCACTTCAAGATACGTTTCAGTTTATCACAAGGCTTTCTCTGGCCAGTTGGATTCCATAGATTGTAGTGCTTGCAATGTTTGAAGTTTCTTCTTGGCAAGTCATCTTGGCAAGCGCTACTAAAGGTATGTTTTCTGTGCCTTTGGTAATTCTGACATCTCTCGTGCTGGTTGGTGGTATTTACATTTTCCATCTCTTTCATTTTGCACATCTGAGAGGACTTTAAGGATTTTAAGGCTACTGACAAGAGTTGCAGGAAATTCCAGTTGAGAGGGAGGGAAGCACTGTGGATGGTCAGCCACTACCAAGGCACACTGAGTAGACCTGGAAGCAAAACTCAGCCCAAGTCTGCATGGCATGCAGCAGTGACAAAACCAGCATAGTACCAAAACCAGCAGGGTACCAAAACCAGCATAGTTGTTTTAATGTTACCCTTTTGAGGGGCAGGATATATCAGTTTGGAAGAAGTGCTGTGTTAAAGTGCCTGTACTTTTTTCAGGCTTCATTAAACTATATCAGCATGCAAAAATGTAAGTATGGTTTAACACTTTTACTTACAAAAGTAAACTTGATTGAGATCTGTGAGTGTCTGCCTCAGGTGGCTCTTGTACTGTACTGCTCTGACTGCTCTTCATGTTTAATAAAACTGCTTAAATTAGTACCTTTGCTGCAGATCTGTGTTCCTGGGCAGACTCTGCATCTGCTTTGCTCTTGGTATTGTGTGAGTACTACACCTTTGGGTTGTCCTCACTCTGGGTGTTCCATTGTTATGTTGACCAGGATCTGTATGGTATGTATTGA